GCAGCACAGAAAGGCCAAGCCCAACACTGATCAGTAAGCACTGACCGAGCACCTTGCCCTTCTCGGCCTGTGTTCAGTCTGACTTCACCACCGAGGGGCAGCTGTGCCCCGAGATGAGTCACCCTTGCCCCGGGGGTCCCTAAGCTGTGAGATGCAGGGCCAGAGGGTGCAGAGCAGGCAGGGTGCTCTGTGCACCACAACGGCCAAGCTGCTCTCAGGACACGGCGAGGGGCCTGCCCAGCCTGGCGGGCTGGGGGGACTTCGGCAGGGTTATTCCTCTGCTGTTTGTACCTTTAAAAGTTAACAAGTACCACCTGCAACTACTAAAAAGAAAAACAGTGACTCAAAGAAAAAACGAAATTACTTCATCATAGGTGACCTTGAACAAGCCAAAGACCCTGCAGGGAAACGGGGTCAAGAGGAAGAGCTGTGTGTGGAACCCGGAGACTGAGTCCCTTTCTCTGAGGACACAGCCTTGTGGACACTGCACTGGATTCAGAAACAAGGGACACCAGAGGTCACAGACACCCCCTGAGGCGGAGGTTGGCAGATCCATTGCAACGACTGGGCCCAGAAGTGAATACGGCTCCAGAAGAAGTCTCAGATCTGGACAGCGCCTCCACCGTGGGTCCCCTGACTCGGGGACCAAGGCAAGCTGAGTTGAGACACGCCCCATCTGTTCCTGCTTCCTGCAGTCAGAGAGGCTGCCCAGCTCCTGTATCCCAGGCTAAATAAACCTTCAGCAAAGTCCACCCGTGGGGGTGGGAGAGCCTCCTTCCACCAGCCCTGAGCCCCCCAGCCCACATGATTCCATAGGCCCTACAAACTGAGCCACGCCTGGAAAACTCTAGTCCAGGCGAATTTCATAATCCATGGAGAAAGAGCAGCAATACAGTAGTCGACTTTTCCCCTCCCTGGAGAGACCTCGAGGACATACAGCATTGTACAACGAGGTGATAAGAAGTGGGACTTCCATTCCAACTCACTAAACTCTGTTCAGAGGGTTGCATTGTTAAGGAGGCAGCCACCAACCAGGTGCCCACACGGATTGAGTGAACCTGGCACAGAGTCCTGGCAAAAAGCACTCCTGCCCTTGACAAGCAGAAACAGAGCCAGGTGCCCAATTCCTGAGATGACTCAGAAAAGAGTGAAAATGTAACAATAAGGTACTTTACGTATAATAAAACACTCTAAAGTAACAAAAGTATATATTTATATATTTTTTAATTTATATCATCTTTCTCTGAAGGAGAACAGAAAAAAAAAAAAACAACAATGTACAACCTACTCCACAGAGAATATTAGGACTCTGAATTCTTGAATTCAAAAGCAGAAAGAAAGATGGAAAGAGGAAGAAAAGGAATGATGGAGGAGAAGAAGGAAAGAAGGAGAGAAAGTGGGAGGCAGCCCGGTTTTCCCTGTGAATTTCTGAACAGAGAAATGTCTGCACACTATCGCTCGTGTGTTTGAGCTCCGAGCTGCCGGGCTGCGTGTTGGGGAAAGAAACCTCCATGACCTGTCATCCCTAGATCAGGAGACCAGGACTTCCAGGGTCCATCCAAGGCGGGGAGCTGCCACAGACAGGAGCAAACCCCGAGGTGAACGATACCTGGGGGTCAGGACCAGGAGGCATCCTTAGCTGCGAGGCCTGATGTGTCCCCAAATCCGTCCTTGGTTTTCCTGTTGTTGTCTGAAAGACGATGCATCAAATTTCAATCCTCAAGTTTGTACCAGTGCCGTGCCCACAAATCCCTTAAGAAATCATGTCTCGGGGCTGGGGCTGTAGCTCAGCGGCAGAGCACTTGCCCAGCATGTGTGAGGCACTGGGTTCGATCCTCAGCACCACATAAAAATAAACAAATAAAATAAAGGCATTCTGTCCATCAACAACTTAAAAAAAAATAAAAAAAACATGTCTCTTAACGGTCCCTAATAATGTTTTGTGTTAATCCACAATTTGACATATGGGAACGCTCACTACTGTGAAAAACGCATTCCGCATTCCACACGGCGGTTCATGTATGGTAAAGACGCACACTTAAATCAGTTACCAGTTGGGTACGCCTGCTCTTAAGCAAGCCAGGGAACATCTCCACTAAACAGATACACAGCCACAAGATCATCATTCCACGTCACCCGACATAAAAGCCAATAGGAGGAATTAATCCACAAGCAAACGGGTCGATACAGAGGCCAGATGCCCACCCTGCAAAGCTTCACAGAGATGAAACCTGATCAGGTGCCGAGAAATGAGTGAGTGTGAATTTCCAACCTCCCATGGGAATCCCTGCGAGTCACCAGACAGAGACAATTTTTCAACACAATTCAAAGAGCTTCCTAATTTCAGTAAAACTCTGCTAAAGAAAGGCACTAACCTGAAAACTTGGCTCTTAAAAACTCCGACCTCATCCCACCAACTGCAGAATGCCGGTAACTGCAGGCATCTGGGACAAGTGCACTACAACCTCTCTCCCGCCAGGTTCAAAATCAGAGAGATGGGACCAGACGCTGAAGTGTGTAGAGCACATCCATCTGCTCATATGGAGCTCACAGAGAAGCAGTTTAAACCTTTAGACGTGAAGGAACAGTTTGCTCAGACTTCACCGTGAGGATTTGGTACTCGGTGGTACCTATGTCGCATACTCACAGAGAATGGCCCAAGATTCAGCACATTATGGTTTTGCTTTCAGTCATTGGCTTCACAAAATTGTGCTGACTTAACTATAAAAGGGAAGATAAAAGCCCAGATTTCCCACGTGTGTATTTCCATAATAAATATCTCAGTATTTTTACACACACACACACAGAGCGGTTGAAGATACATAAACTATTTCTACAAAGCAGTGAGACTTAAGCGTCTGAAGCAATCACGTACAGGGAAATTCTACATAGAAATGCGACTTGCCTTTCGTAGCACATCACCTTACATGGATGCAATCACATCTTTCTATTCTGCCCTTCGCTTAACGGCATTAAAACTCATCTAAACAGCTAAACAAACCACCCAGCTGGTAAAACCAAGGACTTTCTGTTTTCATTTATATGACACACTTCACCAGTTCACATATCAAAGTCTTAAAAACACAAAATTTAAGTAGAAATAAAATCTATTCAGCATGAAATCAAATTCATCAATTGCTCATTTTTTGCTCATTTCAGTTTTCACCATTTCTTTGTGTTTGTGACATTCACAAACTCTGAATAGGAGCTCACAGCTCAACCCAGGACGGCCAGGACACAGCAACGTGAAGGAAAAAATGGGCAGATTATTTACATTTATTTAATGCAGAATAGCTTTGCAAAATCACATCTTAAACACTTAAAAATGTCACCTTTTTAAATGATATGGAAATGGTGTTTCCATACACTTGTATTTGGACAAATTTCTCCTGTATCACAAGCAAAGGTCGTGATAGGAAAACGGACTTCAATGTGATATATTTTAATACAGCATCAAACAGAACCTTCAAATTGGCTATAAACCACAATGAGCTCAAATTCACTTCATCTCCTCTCCTATTTGCTCTTCAAATTTAAAAAAAGTAGATCATAATGAATAAAATGGACATATTTCTCCATATCTCGTTGCTATTTAATTCTTGTTAGTTTAAATACCCTAAGATATGCATAGAATAACTGTGATTCTTGCAAACATGAAACCACATAAATCATACATCTATAAAACCTTAAGAGTGTCAGTTTTCATCCAAGCAGAACTTAAAATTCATGGCATAATCAATTCCAGAGCAAAAACCTTATTTTTTTTACTTGACAAGAAAAGTGAAATATCCCTTGTGGTGACAATATCCAGAATGTCAATCACATCTCAGCAAAATTCTTAAAATTCCATGGGAAGCAGTTTGGATTCTCTGGGCCCTAAGAAAGTTTCAGTTGACTTCTCTATCAAGAAATTCACACACAAAAAAAAGAAAAGAAAAGAAAAAGTAAATTCCACTACTGTCACAGCATTTTAAAAGACTCTGCAAATAAAAAATAAACAGACTTTAAAGTTGTTGTTGAAGAATCCTTTCGGTCCCTCCTGGGAAGGGTCACCTGCGGCTTCCTGATTACACCACATCCTCCCTCTGTTTGCTTTAAGAGTAAACTTTAAACACAGAGATTGCTGCTTCTGCTCCCAGGAATGAACCCAAAGACCAACAGTGAATCACCGGTGCGTAAAGTTCACATTGTCTGTTGAACAGGAACCCTTGGGACTCTTCAGAAAGAATCAATTAGGTGAATGGGGGGGGGGAGGTAAAAATTAGAAAGTAAGGAAGTTCCGCTGCCGGTTTTCCTTTTAACTTTCCCTGAACCCATCATCCTAAAAATTGAAATGTTTATCATGAAGCGAGGGGGTGTCTCCCCGTAGGAGGTGGAAGACACATGGGAGATGCAAACCGTTCTTAGACTTGTTACGACTTTCCTGAGTAATTAGGAAGCTCTATGTCCCCGACAGAATGAGGCTAACAAGCTCCCGCCGTCTCTACTCTAGCAAGAAATCAAAGAGACCCAAAGCAGCGGACTCAGTTCAGTAAAAGGATTACACAGCCTGGCTATTATGGAGCCGAAAGCTCGCCCACCACTTTGGACCCGCAGACCCTTCCTAAGAGTTTCCACAGGCAACGAACGTGACTAAATGAAAAAGAAGACTGCAGTGTGCCGTAGAACATCCAGATCTAACAGGAAGGATCCTGGGCAAGTTATTAGATGATGCCCGGTTCAGATAACGCTTAGGTTTTGAAACTTTCCCCAAAGAAAGACTGGGAGGAGGTTCTTCTAAGGAACACCTGCTCCTACCTGGGACTCCTGCTGGAAAGCTGCCTATGGAGGGTCCCAGTCAGTGTCACCCTTCTTTTGAAAGACAAAGGCATGTCGGAACCCTCGGAGGTGACACTTACAAGTACCACTTTGATGATCGGATAAAAACTGAAAAGCGAAAAATCCAGAAAACGGAAAAAGGAGGAGGTCTGGGTCCCTCGGCAGACATGACGCGCACGTACCTTGAGGACTTCCATGGGCACCTGGGTGGCAGAGGGAAGGGCTGTGGGCGCGCTGACGTTGATGGCTGGTGTCTGGCTCGCGGGCACTCTCTGCTGCAGGAACTGGGCCGCCTGCAGCTTTTGCTGCTGCTCTCTGCGCTCCTGCTCCTGCATCTGTTCACGCATGAGCTGCTGGCGTAGCAAGATGCGTGATGTCATACTGGACGAGCTTATCGGAGGCTTGGAGGCCCCGGGATGCTCCGCAGAACTGCTGTGGGGAGACCAAAAGGCACACGGCACTTAGTTTCCTAATGAGACCCCTTGTTTGCATTTTGGGGTGTCCTAAATGGCACCACACTACAAAATGAGCCTGCGCGAATATAATCAAGTCCCACACGACGGTACTCCACATAATTGAAAATCAAGAGGTGACAGGATTTGAGTCATCAGTAGTCGAATTAAAATAAGTCGGCTTGATTGCATCGAGGCATTTCTATGGAGCTGATTAATTTTTTTTTTTTTTGACATTTTATACCGCACACCCTTCATTCCACCAAATATAGTGCCGCCATATGCATTTCCAAGGAGCCATGCATCTTGATGGCACCCCAGACCCCAGATTCAGACACAAATTGCTTGCTTTGCTTTTTTAAATAATAGAATCTAGCCAACTACTCAGAGATGCCTTCAAAATACCTCGAGGATGTCTAACCTGTTTACTAAGAAGGAACGATTCAAGGAAAGGCGAGCTTTATCGTGGGGAAACAGCTCTCTGATAGTTAGTGAAAGAAGCAGGTGGACGGGAACGTCACCCCTGAGCTCGACCCCAAGTGGACAAGGGAGCAGGAGACGAGCCTCGTTCTTGTCACAGCTTCCTCGGGGCCCCTTTTCTTCTGCCCTTTCTAGGTGTGTCCACTGCTTTGCGTGCTCTGTGTGTCCTGCTACTAAGGGTCCAGGGCTCCCTGGGTCGAAATTATTTACCATGTTAAACTCTCGTCCTGAGAATTAAAGACCCTACCCCAAGTTTCCCACTCTGGGTCTGTAGCTGCCTTGCCTTGACAGCTCTGTGACACCGACGAGTGGTCACACCCGTCTCCGCCTTAGTGACTGCCCCTGGAGTAGAGGGTGCATCGGAGCAGAAGGCGCTGGCCGTCCTGCAGGGGCTGTACTTTGCCTGCTCATGTCCACTTCATTGTTCATTCTCCAGGCCCTGCCTCCTGGGGACTTTGTGGGATTAAAGAAAACAACACACACAAATCCCTTGGTGCAATGGGACCTTGGAGCACTGCTTCCCTGAACGTCTACTGTGGCTGTCGCCGTCACGTGGCAAATCTAACTATTTATTCCTTACGGCAGGATTCCAAGACCCCGGTTCCAGGCAATTCGTATCAAACTTGGGAAACGTTGGAGTGACTCTTCACCTCAGGTCAGCGCGTCTAGGGACACGTCTGTGCTGGCTCTTCCCTGCCTGGGTACAAACCCCAGCACTGCCTTCTCACCAAAGGCCGGCTGACCCCCTGGGAAGTCGCAAAGGCAGAAGTTTCAGGCTCCGCCAGAGGCAGAACGTGCTGCAGGGTGAGCAGGTGTCCCGAAAAATGTCCCTGTCGACGTGCTACCTACCCCCAGTTTGCCAGTTTACACCACAGGACAAGCGGGCCTGGTGACGGGGTCTTGCCGAGCTACCTCCTGCGGCGTTCACAGACAGTGCGGGAACGTTTGCTGATGGGACTGAATCTAGGCGACGTGATAAGGTTAGAAACACAGGTGGAAACAGCCCTTGAGGTAGGAGCCAAAGTTTTAAATGTTCACCACAAGGAAAAGTGTGCGGATATCGTTCTGGGGACCACGGCTGGTGAACACTACAAACCTCCAAGGAAAGGACCAAAGGTCATCCAGAAGCTCCACCGTTGCTCCTTCAATTAGAGTCAGGGAGCTCGTCGCCAGACGGTTTTCCTTAAGTCAATGATTCCGACGTCAGCTTCCCATTTTCCTTCAATAAATGGGGAGCCGACACTCTAGAGCTCCTTACAGACACACACTCTGCCAAATGGCCTAGATGTGCCCCGGAATCCGAGGATGAGTAAACCCTGACACATGAAGTCAAAACAACACGGCCCAACTACAGAGCAAAGTAGGAAACAGATGTGATAAAGAGTAAATCAGAAAGCAGGACTCAGGCGTGCATGATCTAGAGGAACCATGACGTGTGCTTGTGTGTGCACACACACACACAGTGACCGCCAGGAACGTGACGGACAGTCATGGTGACCAGGCTGAGAGGGGAACTGCAGGTCAGTTTATTTTTCTTTAATTTTTATCCTCTAAACTATTAAGCCATAATATTTTGTTCAGTGGCAAAATACACGTCACTAGACACTGATTTAAGAATGTGAAGACCAAAGTCGTCATTTGGAGGAAGAAAGGACCTTGGATCCATCATCACAGAGGGGACAAGGGGATTGTGGCCAATACACTGCTTTCCTGGAAGTCTGTAGCATCCCAAAGATTTATACCCTCTTTCCTTCCCTGCCTTCCTAAGCCACAAGTACGTTTATTACTTTAATATCATGCACCCTTCTGCACCATAAGAATGCTCCCGGGCTGTTCTACTCACTTAAAACAACCCAGTCACTGGCCGAGGCCCTACCAAAAGAGCATCAGAAGAGAATGTATTTTCCCTCCGTTGAGTATGTATGTGTTCAAAGCTCGGTGTACTCTCCTAAGCTGAGAAAAGAAGGGAGAGGTATTTAAAAATTAAAAAAAAAAAATAAAAAAGTAGTCTTACTATTCAAAGCCTGTCAGGCCCTAACATTCCCAGGGAGGCTGATCCTTTTGATAGAAACAGGAGCAAACCTTTGTGTGGTAGCAAATGCAGCTGTGGAATAATCGCACTAATTAGCTGCCCAGGACAAGTCATTGGCTGTGATACGGGGAGGAAAATCCTTTCAATTAACAGTAGAGCATTCCGGAGACAAATTAAAATCGCTAGTTACAAACCCTATTAAGGCTGCATACTTGAAAGTCAACAATGTTACTTAAATCCCGTTCTCAAATGTTCTCCTCAGAGGAAAGATGCACATCTAAGCAAGAGCCCGTACAAATATATGGAAACTCTATGAAAGAAAATATAGCAAATATATTTTGTAGCTCAGCTAATTGACAGTGTTGACAAATTTTTCAGGATTAAAAAAAAAAGTGCCAAGAAAGCATTAGTCAGTTCACTGCACACACACGCACACACACACACACACACACACACACACACACACACCCTGCAAGGTGGTTGCTCTCCATCTTATAGAGATAACTGAATCTGTCATTGTCACCTCACAGACAGACATGAGGACATCTGAGCGTCATCACACCAGAGGGACGAATGAGCCCGGTGCTTTAAACTCAAAGCCGTAGTTTAGCTGAGGCTGTTCCCAGGTGTCGAGGAGGCTGATGCCGAAGCTTCTGATGACACACAAGGACAGATGTCCGAGTGCATTTGATTCTGAGTGAACTGAACCCATCCGGGGCCCATGAATCTGAACCCTGCCTCCATAATCCTAATTCCATGAGTCTGATTCCTCTTAATCAGATTATGTAAAGGTCATTTATTCAACAAACAGTTTCAGCCAGGTGCTGGGAGTACCTGGCTGCTAATCTCACGTTCTAAACCTTGGTTGCCTAATTCTGAGACGCCTGAAAATCAAGTCAATTACCTTGATGACTGGGCTCTGATCTGGTTCCACGTGGGAAGGTATACGTCTCGCCTTCAGAAACCAAAGCCGGGCCCAGAGGCAAAGGCTCTGGGTGGCACTTCCCTGAGTCGCTGCAGCGGGACGTGCACCGCCCCTGAGGACGGGACCTGCTCCACGCTGACCCGAGGAGGGCTCCAAGGCTCAGATTCCAGCCCACTCAATGCTGAGCAGTGCTGCTTTCCATGAGCCACTTAACCTCTCTGGTCTTCTCTAAAACCCACCTCCCGAGGGCACTGCAGGGTCACGTGAGCTAACTGGCTAAAGCAAAGGGCTCAGCGCAGTGGCGGGAGAGCAGCAGAGTCCAGGAGTGGCCACTGAGCGCCACCAAGTTCCTGCCTCTACTGCTGAGTGTAGGTTTTTAGGCTTCAACGCCTCCTGCTTCTCTGCCATGGTATAGGAATATTGGACAGGGCCTCTGAATAAGCTGGCATATCCCTAAATCCAAATGATTTATTCCACTGCCTTTATCAACAACCTCAACCTATCAGAAATTCCACAATGCCCCAGTCCCCGGCTTCCCTGATCACCCCTCACCTGACGTGTGCCCATACCCCTTCATTCACCACGTAAGTCTGCTTGGTCTCCACGTCACAGTTCTCCATGTCAGGAATCTGGTCACTAAACCCAGAGAGGCTGTGGGAAGGAAGGGTGGGGCCTCTCCTGTCCCCCTCCTCGATCCCCTGGGCAGGGCACAGCCCTTCCACTGCTGACTGTGACAGAGGCCCTGTCTGTCTGTCTCTCTGCACTTGGGTTTTCCTTATTAACCAAGAGCTTTTCAGTACACTGGCCCCTCGGCACTGTGGTGAGGACTTAGCTTTGTAGTAGATATAAAAAGCTTAGCACAGCGACTGGAAAAATTAGTGGTGAAAATTATATTAAGCCATGAACATGCTACACTTCTTTTTGATAGAGGAAGCAATTAAAAAAAAAAAAAAAGGCTTGGACCATGGAAGACCTGTCTTTTAAAGGTCAGATGATCCCTGTTTAATTCTGAGAACTTGACAAAGCTTTTGCAGGGATGGAGGAAGGAGGTGATTTCAGCTGCAATTTCTCATGAGCCCTAAAGTAGGAATCCCAGCATTTCCCCCAGTTGAAGTAACCACAGGAGCATTGGGTTGACAGAGTGCCAACCAGCCTCGGCTCACACGGGGGCACGCTGTGCTGGTGACCAGGAAGGCACAGGGCAGAGGCTCTTACACACACAGTGCAGGGCACCAGAAGGCGCAGCAACCCCAGGCCCTCGTAGGAAGGCTGTCGAAGGAAGGCTAAGCCACAGGGGTTCCCAAGGACAAAAGGCTGCAACGTCCTCCTTGGCTGAGAGCTGTGTCTAAAATTAAATCTCCCAGTTCCATTCCTGCAGAATTCTGATTTCAGTTCAGGTGAGGCATCTTATCTACAAATTCTCTGCATCTTATCTGGTACGCAGCCTCGGGTAGAAACTAACAGCAAAACGTCCAAGATCCCAGATCTGTCTGGCAGGAGCTTTGAGACACCAGCCCACATCTCCAATTCTGCAGCCCGGAGG